AGAGAGAGGGATGGCTCTTTATCCCCTCTCTCTCTGCCCCTATGTTATGCTGACATCCTAATTACTGGGGATCGCTGATGAGAGAGGGGAAAGAGCACTGAATTAGCAGGGAGGCTGAGTCCGTTTTTTTCATACCATCTCTTGCAGTAGCCTTCTCACTTCAGACTCCGCCTCCCGATCACACATGCCAGCGTGCACGAGCTGGCATTTCACAGCTGTGCACGATGAGAGGAAGCGCGGCCACAGCAATGAGATGAGTTGAAAAAAAAACCGTGGGCGGGCTGGATCAAATGTTAACGCCCCCTAAGAGAAACGGAGCTTGGAGTGGGGTTGAAGACGGCCATTTACTACAGGTTTTGAGGGTTTTATCTGTGATGTGCTGCGACTTTAGAAAAAAGGAACGATGCTACTACAATCAAGGTAAGGGGTATTTTTATTTGCCCTTAAGTCATAGTTCTCCTTTAAGTAAAATGTTAGTAAAGGTCCTCACAGTCTCTCTAATCCCAGCTGGTGAGATCAGATTTCCATTCCACTAACCTGCAGACCTCCTTGGTTTTCATTGCTGCTCTCTTAGTTGGCTGAGCATAGTACTGATCTTGTACAAGTTAGCTTCCTGGACTTCTATTGGCTGTCCATTAAGTCATGCAATAATTTACAGGCAGCCCACAGAAGTCTGCATGACTGATTACCACAGATGCAGTACTGCAATCATCTGGCTCCGGGCTCGTTCACACCAGCCCTGTTGGGCTGGATTGGGCAGCTTTTCCCAAAGCAGTCCCAGTATATAGACAAGGCATTTAGCCTTATGCCCTATTGTTTTAGTTCACAAAAACACACAGCATTGGTGAGTGCTAAAAAAAATGTGCTGTGGTAGATTAAGTTTAAAGAAATATCATTTTGTTAGTTAAAAAAAGATAAATAGTGCAATACGGTGCAATGCGTTGTTGCAACCTATTGCACCGTATTGCACTATTTATCTTTTGCAATGGTACAACGCATTGCACCATTGGTGCAACGCATTTCACCGTACCTACACAACAGACACCAGAGCATTTTATACAAAACATAGCGCGTGCCCGTTTATGTGAATGGGCACTCAGGCAGAACCCTTGTAAATACAGAGCAGCTCTGTGGATCTTCCGGTTGCTGGAGTGCTGATACATATGCTTTTTCTAATTAAGCTGAGGGGTTAGAGAGGGCATGGGTGCCCTTTACTAAAATCTAACATATTTCAGGACGGTATGTATATTTCAGGATCACTTTGAAGGAAACCTAAATGAGAGAAATACATGGGCTGCCATTGCTGACATTTGCAAAGCTGACATGTTATATAGTTGCTGACTATAGATGCATTCCTGTTTCAGGCCAGGGACTCAGACGTTGCTCAAGCCACTGGATCAGGATAACACTTAGCATTTTCAAGAGGAATTCTTTCAGGAAAAGTTTCCATTAAGCTTGACCAGAATTGACTTGTGCCATACTTGGAGCATTTACAGTATTTAGATTTACATCAACCAGAACATGCTCACAACTCAACAACCTTTGTAGAGTGAAACTGCATCCATTCAACCTGTTTATAGCCCTTGTAGGAAAACTGGTTAAAATGGTTAGCTTTGTTTCTACATTTAGAAGGCTAATGGTGCCTGTTTGTGACAGGGTTTTTGATGTGTAAAATTAAATGACACCATTTCTATATTGGCTTACCTGCATGCATGTTAGTCCAGCTGTGGAAATGAGTCCAGCTAGTAGACCTATGGTCATTGTAATCCATGGATACTGAACCATGTGAGCTGAAAATCCAACTGCAACACCACCAGCAAGCATAGCATTACGGACCTGCATCTGATAGTGAAGAAAATTAATAAGGATCAGGAAGGCACTATATAATTTGGGAGTTTGCCATGATTATATCTACATGTCATGCACCATAATTAAATTCTTCTTACATTTAAATACTTGACCTAATGTTTATTATCTTAGCTACCAATATAAATCCTGCTTGTACCCCTGTGATCAGAAACTGAATTAGAGCTGCTGGTCACTGAACTAAGCTTCCCCTGAGGCTTTCCTAATAAAATTAAAAATGCAGATGCAAACATCTGACACACCTTGAAGTGTCAGATGCTTAAGATTCTTGCATCAGTTCTATCTCTACTAGAGTGTGAATACCGAATTCAACAGAGGCGCTAAAGGTATTATAAATGTAATTTTCAATGCTGTAGTTTCAACTTTTTTAATGTAACAAGTGATCTGTTGTGTCATACTCCAATACAATCTAATACAAATATAAAATGTAATCAACAGAAAACTTCCATATTTTAGACCTGAGTTAGTTTTATACTGCTATGTACACTGCCTGTCCAAAAATAAACTCACACACTCTAATATTTTATTGGACCGCCTTTAGCTTTGATTACAGCAGGCATTCACCGTGGCATCCTTTCCATAAGCTTATGCAATGTCACAACATTTATTTCCATTTAGAGTTGCATTAATTTTTCCCAAAGATCTTGAAGTGATGATGGGAGAGTTGGACCACTAAGTAAAGTCTTCTCCAGTACATCCCAGAGATTCTCAATGAGGTTAATGTTTGGACTCAGTGGTGGCCAATCCATGTGTGGAAATGATGTCTCATGCTCCCTGAACCACTCTTTCACAATTTGAGCCAGATGAATCCTGCTATTGTCTACTTAGAATATGTCTGTGCCATCATGGAAGAAAAAATCGATTGATGGAAAAAACTGCTCAGTCAGTATATTCAGGTATGCAACTAACCTTCGTTGTTGAACCTAGATCTATTATCCAATCAAAGGTTTCTACCTATTTTCTTAGCTAAATCCAGGTGGTGACTTTTTTTGGGACAGGCAGTGTATTTGGGCTTACAATTATTTATTTTATGTTCTTAAGCTATCTTGCCAGGGATAATAAATTTGCACTTACCATTTTAAATTTCCCTTTTCTATTGAAGAGTGCTGAAGCAGCGAATACCACAACAGTGCTGACAGCCAGTGTAAAATAAGTGTTAAAAATAGCATGTTGTTTCTGCATGTGATCTTTCAGCAACACAGAATTGTATGAAGGCCAGAACATCCACATAAACAGTGCTCCTACAGGTTAAATATAAAATATATTACTCTAGCATTAACAAATACAAAAAATTCAAGTCAATGTGACCATTAGTGACAGGTAAAAAGAGTATCTCACATCAATGGCTTAGAGATACCTAGTTCTGTAATGTTATATTCATTGTTTGAGTTCTTGGCTTTTTAAACATAGATTTGTTCACTGGATGCTAGGTATATGTACAGCAACTTGTTTTTGTGTTTATGCCATACTCTGTGAAGGAGGTACTTTAAAAGTATACACATTCAGAACCTTTTTTTTTTTTTTAATTTAGGATTTTTAAATACAGGCCTGTCTTGGTGACCACTAACCACTGTCACCAGGGAAGAAAGTCAGGGAAAATACAAAATTTTATGAAAAAGGGAGTAAGGGGAAATCTTTGTATGATTGTCAATGATCTGACTCATTCACTTGTGTTTGTAGCTTTCAGCATGAGATTTTAAGAACTGTAAATAATATGCTTTTTATAACAGCAGGCAAATCTAAGGATAAACTGGTAAAAAAAATGTGAAGAGGAGACTGGTGGCTGGATTTGCAAAAAAAAAAAAAAAAATACAATACAGGGTTATTCACAAAAGGGTGAAGAGTGTGGAGAAGGCAGGAGAAGTGAACAATCTAGGACAACATAGCTGAACTGAAAAGTGAGCTGAATTGGAGAATTATTTACCTAACATACATCACTATATGATGTAGGTGTTGTCTTACTTTGGCTGTAAAAGTAGAAATATACTTTAAGCCTTTCTTGAAGTTGAAAGAGACTTATGAAACAATCAATGCAAAAATTACTGATAATCTGACCTGTGGACTAGGACGATGCAATCATTTCCTAGGCCACCCTGCAAATGTTTATATGCCTTTATTACATGAACATATTTCCTTTAAAATAATAATAATATACAGTGGTACCTCGGTTCACGAACTTAATTGGTTCCACGATTCTGGTCGCGAACCGAATCACATTTTCCCATAGCGTTTAATGTAAATGAGGTTAATCCGTTCTTAACCATATGGAAAAAAAATATTTCTTGTTACCTTCATTATTGCGCTGCACTTTCTTTTTACCACCATTCTTGCTCTGCACATTCTTGTCACTTTCATTAACGCTCTGCACATTCTTGTCACCTTCACTAACGCTCTGCACATTCTTGTCACCTTCACTAACGCTCTGCACATTCTTGTCACCTTCACTAACGCTCTGCACATTCTTGTCACCTTCATTAACGCTCTGCACATTCTTGTCACCTTCATTTACGCTCTGCACATTCTTGTCACCTTCATTAATGCTCTGCACATTCTTGTCACCTTCATTAACGCTCCGCACATTCTTGTCATTAAAGGAGAACTATTGGGTCAGGGGTTTTCCCCATAGTTCTCCTTAGGGTAACGGGAGGACACAAACTAGCGTCCTCCCGTCACCCTAAGCTCAGTATACCGCGAGCTACAGCTCACAGTATACTGAGACGCCGGAGAGGATCTCGACATCGATGTCGAGATCCGCC